ATTAATTAACATATTATTAAGGGAACAGGTGGATTAGTATATATATTTATACATATTTATTAGAATTTATTTGTATTTCAAAATAATAATACAAACTATTTTAAAGTTACGAAACCTAAGGCCATGACTTGGCTTTTGGTTAGACTTAAACCTGGTTTTTATTCATTAAATATAATTTAAATATTCTGAATATTATATATATGTTTTATATATTTTTAAAATATATTTTATATATTTTTTGAATATTTTGTATATATCGTTAAAATATATTTTTTAACTATTTTATAAATATTTTTTATATATATATATTTAATTTGTATCTTTAGTTTCCTTGTCTTTTCCTCCACTTTTGTTTTATTTCTCACGCCTTGAACTTGACCAGCGGCTGTAACCTTTCGCTGACACACAGAAAAAGTACTTCAAGAACCCGAAACCAGCTCTTAGAATCCGAGAAGCCAGGAACCTGTGTGTCAGTCAGGCTAATAAAAATAGCATCATGTTGCTGATGTTGGTGTTGCAGTTGCAATGGATGTTGCTGCTGCTGCTATTGCTGCTGTTGCTGCAATGAACATACGAAATTCGTTTACATTTTTGCCATTTGTGCGAATTAGAGACAGGGCGACAAGGCAGCTGAGCTTCTGTACTTTTATTACTGCCTGCCAACTAACTAGATAACAACATTGGCAACAACAATTGCAGCAACAACATCAACAGCATCAACAAAGACTTGAACAACTCGCACTTGTCAACGGGATTTTGGGGTAACGAAATCCTTCTCCTTTTTTCTCTCTCAGAAGCTAATAAAGCAGAAAAGTAAACATTTAAATGAAAAATACAAAGATAATTAAATAAATAAATATCCGAATCTGTATATACAAAAAAAAAATAATTAAAATATAATAATTTAACACTATAATTCCCAACTAGTTCTAGCCTCTTCCGAGTGGTAACCCAGCTGAATGTTGAGCTAGAGTGGTAGAGGTCGAGTGGTAGTGTGGTAGGTGTTATTTGGTGTGTTGTGTTTCAGTGTACCCTCTCTATTTTGTAGCTTAGCTTCTTGAGAGGGAGAAAGAGATAGAGAAAACGAGCAGATGAGATAGAAATCAAAAAGATTGATCAATCAATAGAGCGTCATAGACAAATTTGAGTATACAATATATTTATATTTGCTTTAAGATCTTTTCGGCATGCCAAAGTTAGCTTTCTTTATTGTCAGCTTAAAAAAAGCGGCTTATAAATATAAAAATTTGAATAAAAAAGCTTTCTATTCGGTTTGGGACCACCCTAATCGAATTAGCTCTTATGGACACACACCGAAAGGTGGGCTCCTTTGCAAGTACATCGATATGTGAACACTGTACAGTGTGCACTTCACATTTACCATGCGGGGGTTGGGGTATGACAGGGGAAAACAAAAGCAAGAAACAAACAAAAAAAAAACAAAAAAATTAGAGACGAAAATGCTGACTGAGGCAGAAGAACAAAGGGGCATCCTGTCAGGAGATGTCCAGGCAGGTGCCACCGAGGATGGGTTAAGCGAGGCTCCACTGTATGCCTTAAATGTTATTTGTGTGTGTGTGTGTGTGTGTGTGTGTGAGCAAGTGTTTTCCAGTTGATGTAACATTACTTTGAAATCTTTTGCCAGGCAGCCAAATGAAAAGCAAAGAGAAGATGTTGGGCTGCCGCCGACGCCTCTGCCTAAAAGAAGCAAAAGAAGCTCAAAGTGGGGCCAACAGGGGTTAGGTAGGGCCTCCAAGGCAATTAACCCATAAAGCAATCCTGCTAAAAAAAATTTTAAAATAAGTTTTTCAATTTTTTATATTAAGTATAAACTGAATTTTAGCATAATATTTTTTTTATTTATTTATTTATTCTTTTTTATATAATTTTTATTTTTATTTTATTTTATTTATTTAATTTTTTTTATAAAAAAAGATGCTAATTTTGGCATAAAGATAAATTAAAAAATATATTCATAATAGATTTATGCATAGATTAGCATTTCTAGCATTTTTCTATGTTAATTCTTATCTTTAAGACCCCTCTTTTGACAGCTTTAAAACCCTTAGGGTTAAGCAGGGGTTTTCAGTGTGAACTTCCAGGGAGGCTTCCAGCGGGTAACTTCCGAGGGGGAGCTGTTGAGACAACGGATATGGATACTCGGCTTAATTTCAACCAGCGCTCTGTTGGTCAACTGGCCAAACAAAGTTTGCTTCTCTTTTTTTTTTTCCTGGCCTTCGATGGGGGCTAAAGTGGGGTTAAGGTGCCATGGAAGGAGAAGAAGGGGGAGAGTGTGGTAAGGGGGGAGACGGGTTGATGCACGCGAAACGCTTCGCTGGACAATGAACAAGCGAAATTAGAGAATGTAAACAGCGAATTTTATCCTGTTCGCTGCCTTGCCAGCCAACAAAAACACAAACAACAAGGCCCATAAAAACAGCAGAGGTTAAATTAATAATATTTTATATTAATAAGAAAATATTTGATGTAGGAAACTAAAGAAAAGTGTCAAAAGGAAGGCATATAATAAGCTATAAGTATTTGGATATATTTTTAATATATTTATTTAATTTATATATATTTTTCTATATATTTTATATATATTTTTATTTTTTTGTATGGGTTTTATATATTTATATATATATATACAGTGGTGCTCATAGACTTAAGCCACAAGACTTCATCCAAGAATTTTAACGAAAATTAAGAAAAGTTTTTATTCCACAGCTCCAATTATTTGTGTCACATTAGTTCTATATATCAGTGTTCTAATAAAAGAATAACCAAGTTATAAAAATATATATTCAACGAAAAATTAAAAAAATCTGAGACCAACCCCAAAATGTCCTGCTTACATACTTAAGCCACCTGGAAGAAAATGATCCAAAAAGTTAAAATTTGCCCAATATTCCTTATAATTTTAATAAATTTAGTTTAATATTAAGTGGGATGACCTTTCTGATTAAGAACAGCGGAGCAACGCTTTGGCATTAAGCCCACAAGACGTGCGCACTGATGAGGGGTGATTTTCTTCAACTCTTCCTGCAAAATATGCCAAAATCGTTTTTTTTTTTGTTTTTTGGCCAACGACTTGTTTAAGAATACCCCACAAGTTCTCTATAGGGTTCAAGTCGGGGATCTGCGGTAGCCATTGCAAAACATTGATTGTCTCTTGGCTAAGCCACGACTTGACTATCTTGCTGGTGTGTTTTCGGGTCGTTGTCCTGTTGAAATATCCAGGCAAGTGGCAAATTATCGGCATATTCTCCAGATAAATTGTTAATAAGGATGTCCCTGTACATTTCGCCGTTCATAATGCCTTCTATCTTCTTTTGGAGACCTACGCCCGATGCGGTGAAACAGCCCCAGACCATAATCGAAGAGCCACCATGTTTAACGGTCTTTCTCGTGTATTTGGGGTCCAATTGTTTGTTGGGAGGACGTTGTACATATGGTTTACCATCACTCCCAAAGACATTAAACTTGGATTCGTCGCTCCAAACAATCAAACATACACGAAAAAGATCGTTAAGCATGGTGGCGCTTCGATTATGGTCTGGGGCTGTTTCACCGCATCGGGCGTAGGTCTCCAAAAGAAGATAGAAGGCATTATGAACGGCGAAATGTACAGGGACATCCTTATTAACAATTTATCTGGAGAATATGCCGATAATTTGCCACTTGCCTGGATATTTCAACAGGACAACGACCCGAAACACACCAGCAAGATAGTCAAGTCGTGGCTTAGCCAAGAGACAATCAATGTTTTGCAATGGCTACCGCAGATCCCCGACTTGAACCCTATAGAGAACTTGTGGGGTATTCTTAAACAAGTCGTTGGCCAAAAAACAGCAAAAAAAAACGATTTTGGCATATTTTGCAGGAAGAGTTGAAGAAAATCACCCCTCATCAGTGCGCACGTCTTGTGGGCTTAATGCCAAAGCGTTGCTCCGCTGTTCTTAATCAGAAAGGTCATCCCACTTAATATTAAACTAAATTTATTAAAATTATAAGGAATATTGGGCAAATTTTAACTTTTTGGATCATTTTCTTCCAGGTGGCTTAAGTATGTGAGCAGGACATTTTGGGGTTGGTCTCAGATTTTTTTAATTTTTCTTTGAATATATATTTTTATAACTTGGTTATTCTTTTATTAGAGCACTGATATATAGAACTAATGTGACACAAATAATTGGAGCTGTGGAATAAAAACTTTTCTTAATTTTCGTTAAAATTCTTGGTTGAAGTCTTGTGGCTTAAGTCTATGAGCACCACTGTATATATTTTTTTTTTTTTAATTTTATAAAATAATTTTATTTGCTTTTATTTTTGATATATTTTTATATTCGTATATTTTTATTTTATTTTATTTTAAATATGTTTTTTGTTTTATTAATAAAATGAAATATTAAGACCTATTTTTCAGCACACAATCGTATCTACTGGACGAACATAGATAGCTCCAATGAAACGTGGACCATTTTTCTTTGTCCTGAGCCTGGGGACCTGTCCGAAGAGATGCGAAGAAAATGGAGAAGGAGGACAGGATTGGGAGAGGAGCAGGAGTCGAGGATAGAGAGGGGTACAGGGGGGACACTGATGGGGTAAGACAGCAACAACGGCGCCAGTTGACACGTCTTTTTCCTTTGACAAACATTTAAACAGGCGCTGTGCAGCAACAAAAACAATTACAAGCAATTCTGGCTTCCACCTTAACCTTAGACTTAACCTCAGACATTACTAAATGTTAAAAAAAAGAATATACAATAAGAAAACAAGACTTTTGACGTCATAACAATAAATTAGAAGGTAGAACCACAACCCTATAAAGATAGAGGCAGTAAAAGGAAAATCCTAGACAAAAATAAAAGTTATAACTGTAGAAATAATTTTATATTTTTTATAATTTAATAAATAATACAATATTTCAAAATAATTTAAAGAAGTAGCCAGCCCCTCCCTACCTGTCACCATTTCATTCAATCAGTACAGACGGAGAGTCTATCACAATTTCAGTATTCATTCCTCCGTCAAGTCAGTAAGTCAGTCGATAATTTACCCAAAAAAAATAATTATTGAAAAAATCGAAAGAAATCCGAAATAAACCAGAAATCATCCCGAAATCTAACTAAAATAAAACCGAAAATGCGTCGCATCAACGTTTCGGCCATTTCTTTGGTGAGGGAAAAAATTGACTTTACCTTTAGTGACCGAATGCCGCTCTATAAGGTGATGCAGGCCTATGCTGATTATTTTGCGATCGATCGCAAAAGTCTGGAATTTCGTGTTCATGGCTTATTGATTTTGGATAACGATACGGCCTTTTTAATCAATATGGGAACGGGCTGTACAATCAGGGTGACTGATAAAATTCAAGAACAATCGGAGAAAAAAGAACAAGGACAACCGGAAGCAGAACAAGGACAATCCGAAGCAAACCAAGAATATTTATAGTATTTATATTTTAATAATGTTTATATTTTATATTTGCCAAGTTAACACATGAAGACACGAAAATTACATACGCAAATGCCAGCTGAGTTATGTTTAATCAAGTTCCGTCAAATTGAAACCCAGGATAGGTGCTTGTGCCAATATTTTCCTGTTGATCTATTGAACTTTAAGCAGAAAAACCAAGAAAATCGGACTCGGTTAAGAATAATCCCAGCATTGAACAGTAATAATTAAACCAGGACGATTTGTTAATATACAGTACGGTACATGTACATAAGGATACTCTCGGGGTGAGTGGGTGTATAGTGTGTGTTTATGGCAATCCCTGACTAGACATAAAATCCAGTCAACATTTATAGAGAAAGAGAGAGAGAGAGATAGAGAGCGACAGACAGGACGAAACCGTTTTGGGGGCACTTGATGGAAGGAAGTACCAGAGGACGAAGGACGAAAGGACGGGCCATTGTTAGCGGTTGCTGCATCGCTTCTCATCCCATTTAACCCCTTGTTGCTCCACCTGCCTGCCAGGCAATCTCTCCTCCAACGGGTTTGTCGGTCTGCTGGCGCTTCATCAATTCAGTCCATGTCCGACCGACAGAAACAAAACAGGAGTGGCCCAAGGATTGGGCTTTTGACAGAGGGAAGAAACCAGGAACAGGAACGGGAACAGGATCAGGAGAGAGGTGCAAGCGGCGTACGACATTTGTACGATTCCATTTGAATAATTTAGACATTTACGTTGATGAATAAAACCGAAAGCACATTGATAGATATTTTGCCCCCCCCCCTAGCGCTCCCCTTTTTCCCCAAACTGTACGGGAACATATATAGTATATATCACACACACACACATCACATATGTACAGAGTCGGCTGTCTGGAGTCAAGTGGCAGCAGCGGTGTGAGTCCTTTGACTCAGATACTATCGCTCACACTCGAAATCTGCCTTTGTGTTTCACATTTTTGGTCAACTGCCGAAAGAGCTCCTGAAGCTCCCTGGAAACTCTCCTTCCCGAGCCCTGGCTTTAACGAAAAAAGCAACTCTGTAGGGATACCAGACACATTTGTATTTTTAATTAACATTCATTTACCATATTTATTGGAAGAAAATCGATTACAACAGAGGACAGGAGAGATGGAAAATTGTGGAGAAAAACTACTTTTTTTAACTAGAATTTATATAAATATAAATACCTGTAATAATAAAATATAGAAACCCATTTAAGGTGTAACTTTAATATCCATAAAGTTTAAACAATTACAGCTTATCGATAAGCAAGCTATAATTTTCCAAAAACCTTCTACAATAAGAGAGTTCACCTAGGGAGCTAGGAAATTGTGGAGAAAGACTAGTTCCTGTAACTATAATTTATATAAATAATAAATACTTGAAAGAATATCGTTAGATTTCTTTAAATATTAAATATCCAATATTAAATTAATATTAAATATTAATATCCAAAGTAAAATTATGCTTATTATTTCATCTTCCCTTTAGCATTCATTACAATTTTCACACTTTCCACACACACTTTGCCACGATTTTCACCCCCACCTCTGGCAGGAAAAGGCTGTTGACGATGATGGATTTATGAGACATTGTCTTGTTAAACAACGGCATTCGGCAAATTGTTGCCAACTTGATTGTAAAATATGTGTGTGCAAAATGCAAAGTGCAGAAAGCAGATGTGGAAAATGAACAGGAGGGGTGGGGTGTACCCGGAGGGAGGGAGGGAGGGTGGTGGTTTAGGAGTCCCTGGGTGTGGGGTGGCTTGGCTTGTAATGAGCCGGTGCTAATTAATTTGTATAATGTGCTGACTGAGAGACGACGACTGATAAGTGGCCGTAAACATACAAAGGCATATATGTGCCCGAACACCACTCTCCCAACACGCCCCACTTCCTTGCATCTTATCTCTAGTCGAGAGATGCACTCAGAAAAATGTTTTTTACCTTGGAAAGGGATTTATTATCAAAGGAAATTCTAAACCTAATTTGATTTCTGGATGAAAGAGGTGTTCTTTGAAAATTTTACAATTTCTTAATCATATTTTCCTAAACAAATATTTATATAACATTTTATTAAGCTTTGTGGCCTGTCTTGCTAGATTTATAATTCACACAATTAAAAAAGATGTGGATTAATTTATTTAATATCTACTGATAAAGTATTTTATTATTTTTTTATTTTTATATTATTATTATTTTTTTTTTATTATTTATTAATAAAATATAAAATATATCTATAAAATATTTATTTTTATTAATTTTTTAATTATTTTTACTTTTTATTTATTTTTTTAAATTTGAATTATTATTTATTTATAATTTATTTTTATCTATTTAAAATTTATTTATTATTTATTATTATTATTTATTCATAATTTATTGATTTTTTTCTATTTATTATACCCTTGCAGGGTATTATAATTTCAGTCAGAAGTTTGCAACGCAGTGAAGGAGACGTTTCCGACCCTATAAAGTATATATTCTTGATCAGCATCAACAGCCGAGTTGATCTAGCCATGTCCGTCTGTCCGTCTGTCCGTTTCTACGCAAACTAGTCCCTCAGTTTTAAAGCTATCTCAATAAAACTTTGCATATAGTCTTCAATATGCTCTCACTGCTATTTATGTCGGAACGGGCCGGATCGGACGACTATATCATATAGCTGCCATACAAATGTTTGATAAATTTTTAGAAAAAAATTATAACTTGGCTGTTTTTCAACATATTTGCACTATTTTTTACATATGACCATCTTATATTATTTCTGAATTTTGGTAGAAATTTTATGAAAATCGGACGACTATATGATATAGCTGCCATAGGAACGATCGGGAAATTAATAGGAATAAAATTATAGCTTCGTTGTTTTTCAACGTATTTTTATCTACTCTGAGATATAAGCTTTTTTTATTATTCTAGAATTTTGGTATAAATTTCATAAAAATCGGACAACTATATCTTATAGCTGCCATAGAAGCGATCGGTAAATTTATAAAATATATAAAGCTGGGAATGTAAAACTGTAATTGTCAAACTGTAAACATAATAAGTAGAGGTAAAATGTAATGAAACTCTGTTTTGTGTCTGTTTTCGGCATTATAATTTATAATATAAATCTAAAAACCAATCTGCAAGGGTATACAAACTTCGGCGTGCCGAAGTTAGCTTCCTTTCTTGTTTATTATATATTTAATATTTATTAGCATATTTAGCATAATATTTTCTCTCAGTGCCTTGGCCAATCAATTAGAAGACCTAAACACCGCCGGACTGCCCCTCGAGGCTCGCGTGGTGCGAAGAGTAAACGTTTATAGTGCGTGTAATCAGCTCTTAACTATAATTTATAAAACTGCATTTCTTGCGCCCCCTTCTCCCCTTAGATCCCACCTTTCGGTTTACCCTCTCAGCTTAGTTCGCAGTTTAACGCAAAAGAATGGGGGGAAAATGGGGGAAAAACGCATCGGAACGCCGACGGAAGCAATAAACTTCTGTATAATTAAATAAAATAAAATTAAAAATGTTAATGAGAACGAAGAGGAGCTCTCCGGTCTATAATCATCTTGGTGGCTTTGTAGTCTCGTGTAGCTTTTCGGATCCCTCTCTCTCTCGGAACGCACCTCCAGAACGTAGGCCCCCCTTTTTGGGATCGCCGCCTCTGGCGAGGCTTGTAAACAATTTAGCGTGTCTCTTCATATTATATCATTAAAATTAATACGAGTTTAGCGTGCCGCGAGTTGTTCACTTTGGGCCGCTGTCAAAGTGCGTCTACCAATGCGATCCGAATTCATTACATTCTTTGTCTGCTGCAAAGCTCCCCCCTCTCCTGACACCTTAGGAGGAGCTCCCATTCTTCCGGAGCGACGCTGCGTGTTGCCTAACTAATGGGACAGACTATGGCCAAATCGCTGATTGCATCGGACAACGATCAGAGAATTAACACGTCGATTATTCAAACTGAAACCGAAAGGCTCTAAGATAACGATAAGACATCTAAATCGAATTTGGGAAGAATACACACTTTAGATGTTGAAAAAAAACACCGATAATAACAATGTTAATCGATTTTAAATCGATTTTTGTTTAGACTTAACAAAAACACTTGCTTGACACTATAATTCCCAACTAGTTCTAGCATCTTCTAAGTGGTAACATTTAAGTAATGAACAATATTAAAATTTGAACCGAAGGCCAACAGTTTCAAGTATTTTGTGTTACTTAAAGAATTTATATAATATTTGATAATTACTTCCAGTCTTTAATTTAAAATATTTAACATTAAGCTCATTTCAGTAGAAAATTCATTAGCCTAAATTGATTCGGCTAAGGATTTTTCTACTGAATGGCAAGCCTAATATTGAATTTTAAATTATAATTAAATATATTTAATTTAAGTAATTAATAATACTTGAAACTGTTCGCCTTCATCTTCCGCCTTCCTTGCTTAATCGAAGCTGCAAATGGCTCAATCTTTTGGTTTAATAATCTTGGAAACATCTTTATCTTCATAAATCGACACTAATTTTCTGTGGTGCTTCGTTCTCCTCGGAGGAACCCATATGGAAAACTTAACTCCCGGCTATGATCATCGTTTGGCTATGCAAATCAGAAACTGTCCACGGCTTTGTTTTCACCTGGCGGGCATTGTTGTGGCAGTGGCTTTTGTGATTTTTTATTCTTAGATTTTTTTTAGGCTGCTGCTGCTGGCCTAACACGACACTGACAAATGTTAATCCATTAAGGCGCTGTCAATGGACAAATCTGTCACAACAGAGAGGCGGGAATGGGAATGGGTTGCAGTGGGACTGGAACTGGGACTGAGCTGGGGCTTACCAAGTTAAGCTATTAGTTAGTGGGGACCTTAGTATGCATCTTAATTGGTGCAAGGTGCATTGCTCTGTCCTCAGCCTGTGTTGCATTTTATTACGTATTCCATACACTGAAGAAAAATGCTTAGAAATGGGTTTTTAAAATTTTAACAATGCTTTTTTTATGAAACTATCCTATAGGAAATTTATATAATTTTTTTACAATTGAAAATTCGTCAAAAATTACTCCTAAATATTTATTTATGAAACAATTCTTTAAGAAATTCTACATATCTAGTATTTTTATTACCATTGAAAATTGTTTAAAAATGACTCTTAAATATTTATTTATGAAATTATTCTAAAGGAAACTCTTTATAAATGTTTTTACTATTAAAAATTCTTAAAAAATGACCCTTAAATATTTATTCAACGTGTAGGATTTAGCAAGACAAATGCGAATGCTAAACTTGACCAACAACAAATTGGCAATCAGGCCGCTGTCCATCGCTTTGCCCACTGGGCAGGTGTTGGACAACTTAATGCGAGCCAGAGGAGTAGTCTCCAGGAGAGGTGCTGCTGCTGCTGCGTAGAGCGCGTGCCGTGTACAATTTTTTAAGTGCCTGCTCATTAATCGTAATCGTCTGAGGCCCTGACCCCGCCATCTTCTTCTCGGACTGCAAAAAGACTGCGAATGCAGCTTGTGTCCCTGCTCGGAGCGCCTATTCTCCAACCCAGCACCCCTCCCCCTGTCTCTCCATCTCTTTCGGTTTTTTTTTAACCCATATAGTGGCAGTCCCGCTTTAGCACAGCTCCTTTGACGACTGCCGCTCTTTCTTGTCAGCAGAAAGTGTTCCCAAAAACGTGGAAATTAAGGAGAAATTGCTAGGAAAATTAGGGAAAATTTTGAGATTTTTTTTTAAATACCATAACTACGTTAAAAACTTATT